ATTGATGAGTCTATCATATACTAAAATGATTCTAGAATCCTTGTCCTTTTCTCTCTCTTTTCTTTTTTTTCCCTTATTTATTTTCTATGTTCCTAATTCCTCACCTGAGAATAGGAGAACTAAGGGATACGGCGGCACAATATTCAGCATTAGAAAAATTCTGTTCTGGAGTGATACTTCTCTCGAAAATAGATCCTAGAAAGATTGGCAGACTCCTACGCAATGTTTGGGGATGAAGATATAATCTTTTGCTTTACTAAATTAATGAGTCTATCATATACTAAAATGATAGATCCTAGATTAGAAAGATTAGCAAAGATCCCAATGCAAAGATTGGGTGTGAAGTTTTCGAAGCGTCGATTGAGCCCAAATTCATCAAAATCACAGGTGAGGGGAGTATTTTAAATAATTACCAAATTATGATTTGACTTTGGCATGCATTGTAATAAAAAACCTATTATTAGAAAGGAAGAGAGAATATCTCTGACTTGATTTTCTTAGAAAGATTTTCCATAAGAAATGCAACTTATTAAAAGTCTCTACTTAAATAGAATGCTTATATTAATTTTGCATTTTTTTATCCTTATCTTTTAGACTTAAAGTTGAATCAAAAATAAGTTCAGATAAAAGTTTTAGAAAATATATGATAGTATTATTATTGGTTTGACATTGAATAATTGTTTGAAGATTATGTAAAGATCATCATTTTATAATTGTTTTATAATTAAAATGTTTTTAATGATTCTTTTAGTTATTTTTGATATAAGGCTCGGTTCTGTCGTAGCTCGATATGAATTGTGTGACATCAGAGGCGAGAAATGACATATAAAAAGTTTCTTGTGTATAGCCTTATTTTATATTTTTCTCTTAAAAACATGATATTTTCATAAACATGATATTTTCTTAAAACTTGTAAAAAATATCCATAAAGTAAGATATCTGTCCAATAAATCATGTAAAAGTGTAAAATAATTCTTGAAGTAATGGTATATTGCTTAGCTATCAGAAATCATCAGATCATTAGATCTAGTTGTTTTTGATAGCTGAACAGTGACCATTATTTTGGAGATATCTTATTTTCTAATATTTTTTAAAAGTTTTAAGAATATAAAAATATCATGTTTTTAAGAGAAAAGTATAAAATGAAACTATGACGCAAAAAACTTTTTACATATCATTTCTCGCCTGTGACATCACACAATCTATGTCGCGTCGCGAGAGAGCCTTAAACTACAGTTACATAAAAAATGAAGTTTATATATATATATTTTATATCACAATAAAAATATAAAATATCTCATAAACTATTTCTTTTTTGATAACATTATTTTAATATATTTTTATATCTAGAATATCCATAACTTCTAGAGAGGAATATTACGTAAAAAAAATTATATAATTTCATAAAAAGAAAAAATACGACAATTTTCATGTAATTTTCAAACAGCTAATGTCAAATTAAGAGTACTATTATATATTTCTCTTAAAATTCTAAAACTTTCGCCTAAACATATTTTTGATTCAGCCTTACTTTGCATAGATATAAAAGATGATATATTAAAATAAAAAAATCCTGTATAGTCAAAAAGCTGAATAACTAATTTTCTATATATCATATTATTTGACCATCATAATACATCAAAATGTAAGCATTATTCATCTATAATCACTTGCAATATACAGAAGTCGCTAGCGGCTAAAATATTCGTAACAAAAGAGTTAAAGAGAAATATCTGTAAAATTCGTTTATTTCTGTAAAAAGAAAATTTTATGAAAATTTTTTTCTTTACAAATCCCTAATGTCTTAAATGTAACTAGATAATTTAAAAAAAAATGTTTTCTTAATTTTTTTGTTTTCCAATTATTTCCCATTTTTTAAGAATACTTTAATCTTCTTGTCCTTTTCTCTCTCTTTTTCTTTTTTTCCCTATTTATTTTCTGTGTTCCTAATTCCTCACCTGAGAATAGGAGAATTAAGGGATACGGCAGCACAATATTCAGCATTAGAAAAATCCTGTTCTGGAGTGATACTTCTCTCTCGAAAAGAATGCATCTGGGATGTGCCTGGGCTACGCCGTACTTTTTTCATTCCCGGTACGAATTCGGGATTACCTCGACCGCTACCTCTGCCTCTACCTACACCTGTTTCACTGTTTTCCTGGCAGATCGACTCAGTGACAATTTCTGGAATGGGACGTTCGTTATCGGAAAAAGAGAAGACTTGCGTGTCCTGTTGCTGGTTATTCTCTTCCTGCGGAATGCCTCGTCCCAAACGGCGAAATTTTTCCTGATTCACGCTTTTAGCAATGCAAGCAGCAGTATTACGGCACAGTGTCCGATTACTAGAAATAATTGGCTGGGCCTATAGGATATTTTAGGCATCATTTAATGCAATTCTTTATTTTGACAATGTCTTATTAAAATTAAAATCAATGTATGTTTTGGAGTTTGAATTTATATAAAATTGATCTCCAAATAAATAATAAACTAGTAATCTAATATAATAATCTTAATCTTAATAAAATATTTAACAGGAAAGCATGTCTTTATCAAAAATTTTAATAAAGAATTTAAAATTAAAAATTCATAAGTTGAAAGAATATATATAATTGATTTTAGATATTCTATTTAATACAAATTTTTAAAATAACATACGCAAGATGGAATGTACTCCCTTTGGGGACACATGTCATCACTGATTTTCATCTCATCTTTCGTCAAGAAATTTATTTTTTCTAAAAGGCAATTTTCCCTGTATGCTTTAGAAGCTCTCTCATAGATCTCACCATTCACTCTCATTTTTCTGGTCAATCGCTGCGCTGCAATCTTATCTCTTAGTTCGCGCACTTGCCTTTCCAATTCAGCTACTTCCATGTCAGATTCACAAATTTTCGGGATAAGAGATGTTAAATGCTGTTCAGCAGCTTTTTGGATAATCATAGCCGAATCTAATCCATCTATCCTTGTTACATCTAATCTAAATAATATATAATTGCGTTATTTAAATTATAATAAATGGCTGGCACGCACGCACGCACGCACGCACGCACGCACGCACGCACGCACGCACGCACGCACGCACGCACGCACGCACGCACGCACGCACGCACG